CTCGATTAATTTCCCTAGCATGGGGAATTATTCAAAGGAGGGGAATTAATCGAGTTTTGAAATTTGAACGCGTAGTAGGGTATTTGTTGGAGGGGGATTATTGTTTCAATTCATTCGTAGCAGGGGGAATTATTCGAGGGAGGGGAATTAATCTAAATACGGTACATAACCTGGACACATCAAGGATTTTTTTAAATGTAGTAAAGGATTTAGACCGGACATTAACAAATTTATGATCTCACCTATTATATGAAAAAGGTTGTTGCTAATGGAGGGACTATATGTTATTTTCTAATTTAATTTAATTTAATTTATTGAGTAAACCACAAAGTACATAAAAAAGTACAATTATAGTGGTAAAATAAAAAATAAATTTTTAAAATACTATAAGAAAATGTCATAATAAATTTATAAAAAAATGTCAATCTAGGAGGATAAGGGAGTTGCGAACTAAAACCTCTATTTTATAAAGTTATTAACAAGTACTCTAAATTTTTGCGAATTATATGTTTGTAAAATTTCATTAGGTAAGCTATTCCAGTTATTTATGATTCTATTAAAAAAATTATTTCTAGTTTTACCGTTAAACTTTTTGTTCCTTAAACAAAATATTTTCCTTTTAGCTTTTACTGCAAAATCAAAGTATTTTTGTGGGTCTAGATGCGTCTGTTTTGAAATAATTTTGTGCGCCATTACAAGATCGGCTACTTTTCTTCGATGGCTTAGTTGTTTTAGTTTGAATTTGTTAAGTCTTTGTTCATAAGGTAGTGGCGTTATTCCTGTGATTTTTAATGCTCTTCTTGTAAAATATTTTTGTACTCGCTCTATTTTATTAATTTGAAGAATTCTGTTTGGGTTCCAAATTTCAGTGGCATATTCAAGTTGAGGACGAATATAAGATTTATATACATTTATTAAAGTCTTAAATTCTCTAGTTTTTAATATTCTTAGTATTTGATAAGTTATAAAGTATGAATTTTTAACTATTTTATCAATATGTTTGTTAAATTTTAAGTTGTTATCAATTAGGATACCTAAGTCTCGTACGCAATCTGATGTGTTTAATGTTTGATTAAATATTTTATATTCCTGTTTAAGGTTTCCTTTTCCTATATAAAGTATTACACATTTCTTAATTGATATTTCTAAAAAGTTTGATATAACCCAATTTTGTAATATTGTTATTGATTCATTAAGATAATTAATATTAGAATCATTATTATGTGAAATATAAAGCTTTATATCATCTGCATATATTTTATAGCCTATTTCTTTTGGAAGGTTGACAGGGAAATCATTAATAAAGATTGTGAATAAAATAGGTCCCAAAACACTGCCCTGGGGAACACCTGAATATGTATGAAAAGATCTTGAAAACGAGTCATTTATTTTTACACGGTAGGATCGTCCTGTTACAAAATGCTTTATGAATTCAAAAATTTTTCCAGATATACCAGCATTTTTAACTTTTGTAAGTAATAAATTTATTGGAACTGTGTCAAAAGCTTTTTTTAAGTCGATATAAATTACATCTATATTCTGATTGTTACCTACTGCATTGTAAAAATCTTCTAACATTGTTAGAAGTTGTGTAGTAGTAGACCATTTAAAGGTAATTGTGAAGAAATTCTTCTTCCATTAATTTCAAAATCTTTTCTTCTTTTTTGTCCATAATTTATTTCATAAATTTTTTGTGTTGGAAGTTTAATTTTATTTAATTGTTTTTGTCCAGTTTGAATTAAATTTGAAGAATTTTTTGAATTTTTATTAATATTTTCAATTAATAAATCTCCATTGGGAAGTGAAGTTCTTGTTAATAACTGAAAAGGAATTGAATTTAAAATTATTTTAAATTTTATTTTAAATATTTTTTATTTTTAAATTAAAGATTTTGAAAAGTAAAATTTATTTCAGGAGTAACAACACTGTAGTTACTATAATTTGCTATAAAAATACAAGAGATAACCCTATATAGCCAAAAATTTTGTATAAATATTCCCAATAATTTTACTTAACATTTCTAGAAATTCCAGAATGTTTTGGTAATATATTTAAAAAATTATGGAAATGGAGAAACTTTTGAAACAAAAGATTTTGAAAATTTAGAGGAGGTAGTTACCACAAAGGAGTAACAATTAAGGTTATAAAGGTCTTTATTTAGGAATTTTATTAATTTTATAAGCCTCTAAGTAGCGTTGGCACTTATAATCTTCACGGGAATGTTATAAAATTTTTTTCTAATTTTCTAAAAATTTTCGAATTATTTTTTAAACATTTTAAAATTAAAAAATTTAATCTTTACATTTTTTTCATTATTTATTTCATTATCCACCCCATATTGTCTCTGTAATATATTAATTATTGTTGTAATTTCCACTGCTTGCTCGGAAAAATTCCGTCATATCACCCGGAAACCGATTCGGACAAATGATATGTCATTCGAAAGATCTCGCCGAGCTGAGTCGAACGGCACCAAAATTAGCTGGGGGACTCACCTATGGGCCGAGATATTGGTCCTCGAAAATCGAAAAACCATAGGGGGGACCAAGCACTTTTTTGGGGTGAAAAATTCAATTTTTCGAGTGCTAGCTCATTCGAAAGAGCTCGACGAGCTGAGTCGAATGACACCAAAATCAGCTCGAGATCTTGATTTTGAGCCAAATAAACAGTTCAAAATGGTCAACATAAACCTATGGGGCGTCGGCGAGGCGCTTGTGCAAAACTCCGCGCTTCGCGCGGAGTTTTGCGGCACGCGCCTCGCGGGGAGTCTACGGTCGCTGGGTTCTGGGCTAGTAACTTAATCCTATTCCTATCATCGATGAGGTGGGCATGCCTGGCTTTCTCCGCAGCAGTAAAATTTCAACGGAGACCATAGGTACGGAGCTAAAACAAACTGTCATAACTTTGTCAAATCAAGAAAGTTTTTGTTGATTTTGGTGTCATTCGACTCAGCTCGTCGAGCTCTTTAGAATGAGCTATTATTTGCATATTCGAATTTTTTATCCCAAAAAAGTGCTTGGTCCCCCCTATGGTTTTTCGATTTTCGAGGACCAATATCTCGGCCCATAGGTGAGTCCCCCAGCTAATTTTGGTGCCGTTCGACTCAGCTCAGCGAGATCTTTCGAATGACATATCATTTGTCCGAATCGGTTTCCGGGTGATATGACGGAATTTTACCGCTTGCTCTTCTAATACTTTTTTCTCGAAATTTATTATTACAAGAATTTTCTTCTAAAGAATTTTTAGGTTTTGGATTTTTTAACCGATTTTTTAAATTTTTAAAATTTTTAAAATTTAAGATTTTTTAAAAATTGTTCGGTACCGTATTCGGTATCGGTATTTCGGTAAAAATACCGCGGTATTACCGAAAAATACCGCGGTAATACGGTACCGTGACCAACTCTAGTATATAGTGAGTGTGGGTGGGGAAAAAAGGAAGTAGTAGTATATTTATATTAAAGAGGGAAGGATTGCTTTTTAAAATTCCCAAAGGAAAACAAACGAGTCAACGAAGGTGTCAATTGTGTTGTTTTTTATATAAATTTACTTTAAGTCGGCCCTCGATACTATGGTGGCATCTAGTTGTAAGTCACCCTCACTTAAGGGTGCAGCAAATTAGCGGACACCTTTGTTTTGATTTAACTTTTTTAATTTTAACCGAAAATTGATAATTCTTCTCTTTTTTCATGGATTTTTGACATTTTAAGAAAATTATTGATACCAAACAAAAAAATTTTGGTTCACAAATAGGAAAAAAAACAAATCCGAACATTTGGAAAAGTTAAAAATAATTTTTATGCCAAAGTTTGTTGACATAACTTCGTTCAAAATCATTCAGACCCAGTAATTTTGGCACCAATCTTCTCATCTTGTTAAGGAGCAAAAATTAATGTTTACATACTTTAATTTATGTAAAAAATTTTTCCTTTGGTTGGTTATTGGAGAGGGAGTGCCTGTAACTTATAGTTGCATGGCACCCAGTTGTATTTCAATCTTAGATTTTTTCTACCCGAAGAAATGACGTTATAGCGAGGTTTGTTAAAAATTAAATTGTTTATTAATTTATAAAAATATATAGAGAATTAGATTAATTTTAATATAATTTTTTAATTACCCAAGTTTAAGTTTAAGATTTTAACCATAATTTCTCTAAAATGGTTATGGAAATCGATAATTCATCTGCAATGTCTACACCACTCACTGTTTGTGGCACTAACAACAAGAAATTAAAGTTGCACCAATTATCAAAAAAACTTATAAATTTTTCTGAACAATTTTCTAACGATATTCCTCCTTGGGCTGCTACAATGCTTGAAATCGTTAATTCTGTTATGGATCTCTGCAAAGACATTCTTACAACAGAACCAGAACAAGAACCCATTAAATCTATTCCTAAATTTCGCTTTGGTGATCCACACTCTGCAACCAACGAACAACAAAATAACTCTTCTTTTACTAATCAATCGTATTTCACCAATATATTAAACAACGCTATACTAGACGCTGAAGAAATTAAGTCTAAGTCAAAGAGGGTTGTTATTGTATTTCCAATTGCTACATTTTGATTCATAATTAAAAAATTTTTACAAGTGTGACACTAGTTATGTTGGACATTTTATCGCTCGTTTAATTGGAGGTATACAATGGTGAGACTCCATTGATTTCTCAGTGACTTGGGGATATATCGACAGATATAAACGGATTGGTGGAAACCGGACCGAGGCAAATTTTTTTTGAAATTCTTGTCTCCGAGGAGAAAAAATTTCAGTTAAAAATCGACAAAAAATGTCTAAAAATATCGATTTTTTCGTACTTTTTTCGTCCAAAAATGTAGTTTACAAACGAAACGAAAATCATGAAAAATCCACGAAAATCACGAAAAACGAAAAGAAAATTTTCGTCCATCTCTGCTTTCGATTGACATATAATTTGTCACAATCGAAGTCTGTTTAGCATTTCGAAATAAACCCTAAAACTTTAGATATTTCTTAAAGGATTACCGATAAGACAACGGGAATTAACGATCAACTACAAAAAAATATCACTGTTACACCCCGAACAAAAAATAACACCCCGAACAAAAAATATCTGCCAATAAAATTGGCATTCAAAAATAAAAAAACGCTTCCTATATTTATCGTTATCAACCACCCATACAACGATGTAAAGTTTTTAAACAGCTCAAACTTTCAGACGCGATATAAAATAAACAAAATATTGGGTTAAGAATTCAGAGACAAAGATAACCGTAAAAACACTCTCTTCCTTTATTGTTTCTCTAATTGTGTGTGCGCTCTTTAGTGCTCTTTAATGCGAGGGAAAAATCCCTACTTTGAGTAAAATAACGAATAACCTAAACTAGCGGTAATTAAAAAATGGTCAGAAGGACAAATTATTTAAAAATGTCACATTGAGTTTTCCTAGTCTCCTTTCACTCTTTATGTGCAATTTAGGGAGCAATTTTTATCGAAGCTTGTGAAAAAATAACAAATCTTTTACGAATAAACATATAAATTTATTTAAAAACAATAAAAAAAAATAACAATTTTTATATATTTTTAATTAATAAGTAAATAATGCAATATTTCCGTCAGCACCAGAAGTTATTAACCAAGGCTGAAAAAAAAAAGAAAACAAGATTAATTTGAAAAATAAAATTTAAAATATAACAACCTGAATTGGATGAAAAGTAGCACAAAGTATGGACAACCGAGTATTATCAAGTTTTGTTTGAGGTGTCTCTTCATTGTCAGAATTCTTTAAAAATTTATTTTAAATCTATTTTTATTTAAAAAATATTTTGGCATATTTTACAAAAAATTGTTTCGTCTAAACAATTTACAATTTTTAGGACAAAAATAAATAATTTAAACCATTTTCTGTAATTTTTTACAGCAAATTTTCTATTAAATTCAAACTAAAAACTAACCTCATCTTGATTTTTGTTGTTTATCTTCTTCTCCTCTTCATCCTTATTGTCCTCTTCTTCTTCTTGTATATTTTCTTCATTTATTTTTTGTTCTTTTAATTTAGTTAATTCCCTTTTTGCCAAAATTTTATGTCCAAAAAGACGTTTAACTAATTAAAAATAAGTATAAATTTAATTTTTAATTATTAAACCTGGTACTAATTCATTTTCTTTTTCCAAATCTTGACTTGTTCTAGCATGATAAACTATTGCTGTTGCATCATCTGATCTTTAAAAATAATTTTTTTAAATTAATTTCTAAAATTTTTTTAATCTTACACAGTAGCAAGTAAAGGATAACGTTTGTGATATGTAATTGATCGAATTCCTGATTGATGTGTCCGTAGTTTTTTCCAAGGTTTTGTGCCCAGTTCTAAGTCCATCCTTTAAAAGGGTTTTTTAATAAAACAAATTTTTTTTAAAATCTTCAATTAATAATTGAAGTTTTCCAACAAAAATTAATGGAAAAATTAAATTTACTCATATATTTTAAAATTCATTACGAAAAAAAATAAATTTTCCCAATTTAAAAAGTTAAAAAAGAAACCAAGAAAATGTTCTATCCAATCCACCAATAAAAAGATTATTTCCTTCCGGATGTAACACCATACATGATAGCCATCTTGTCCCAGGAAAAAGTTTCCTTTTTAATTCATTTCTGGCCAAATCATAAATTAAAATATGTTGCCTAGAAGAAAATATTTCTTCAGAAAAATTTTAAAGAAAAAAACCAAACCTCGTTCCAACAAAAAATAACGGTTTTGAAGGATGAAATAAAACAGATTCAACAAAACCTTTACATTTTGTAAAAGGTTTCTAAATTATTAAAAAATAAAAATAAAATAATTTAAAAATAATTAAAAAATTAAAACCTGTGAATTACATTTACTTAATTGGTGAATTAAAACAGTACTAGAAGAATATTGAAAACCAAGAGTTGCAAAATAATCTCCTTTTCTATGCCAAACTACACTTCGAATTTTCTGAAAAATTTTTTTTTGATATTTAAAAATAATTTTAAACAAAAAAATTCAAAAAATAATTTATTTCCAAAAGAAAAAATTATTTGACTTCGGCCAGACTCGAACTGGCGACCTTCAGTGTGTTAGACTGACGTGATAACCAACTACACCACGAAGCCATATTATTAACTCAAGTTAATAAAAATAGTTTTGTACAAAAAGGAATATCTTAAGCAAAACTTAAATCGCTAAAAATTTAAAATAATTTACAAAAAATTTAAGTAAAATAAAATTTTTAATTAAATTAATATTAAAAATCTTACATCTTTCATTTCAAGTTGAATTCCCTCCATTTTTGAATTTTTATTATTAATATTTAATAATAAAAATTTAATAATAATCAATATTTAAATTAGTTGAAGTTTTAATTTCTTCTTCCTTCTTTTCATTCTCAATTTTGTCTTCCCTTAATTTATTTATATTTTCACGTTTTCTTGTCATTTTCAAATTTTATTAAATTAATTATTAAATTAAAATAATTAAATTAAAATAAAGAAATAAATATTAATTAATATAAATTTAATGCCTTAAAATTTCTAATTGTAAGTGTCAAAAATATTTATGCCAAAAAAATTTTTTTAACGCAACCCGTTTCCATTTAATATAAAAAATAAGTAAAAAATTTAACAGTTATTTCTCCACTAATTTTAATTTTGAGATAATTCTTCTCCAGAAATGGAAAAATATTACATAAATTATGAAGGAAAAATTCAATGTTTTAATAACATAACAATAACTTCATGCCCAAAAAAAGCTTGTGGAAAATAAAGGGAGTTTTTAACTGTTAAATATTCAAAAATATATTCGTCAAATATTATTGTCTAGAATTATAAATTACCTAAATCAAAAAATACACACAAAAATCGCATTTTTAAAAATTTTCGTATCGTCTCAAAAATCAAAAATTAACCCCAAACTTGTCAAGTTTCAATTAATGTAGTCAAATCACTAAATGAATTTCTTTGATTATTTAATTTTGATTGAGAAAGAGGAATTTCCAAACATTCTCTTCTTACACAAAGCCATTCTCCAAGAGTTGTATAAATTGTGCAACTAATTATTTTTTTGTTCTTCCTAAAAATTTAAAATTATTTTTTAAAATATTCTAAAAAATTAACCAAATAAATTTTTTGTAAACGTCTACAATTTTTATCTTCACAAAGAGGATTGGGACGAATTGTCTCTTGAGGATTGGGACGAATTGTCTCTTGACGAATTTGAGAATCAAATTTATTTCTTAAATTTTTATTCAAAAACCATGGTCAATGTTCCTATTTCTTCCAAAACGCCAAAAAATAAAAGAACTGCTTCTTAATCAAATATTAATTTATTACATGTCCATGGTTTTTAAATTTCCATTTTTTATTATTGACTCAATATATTTTGTTTCCTAGACATTATAGTATTTATTTTTAAATTTAATTGATTTATTTTTAAATTTTAAGATTTATTATTTGAGAATCAAATTTATTTCTTAAATTTTTATTCAAAAACCATGGTCAATGTTCCTATTTCTTCCAAAACACCAAAAAATAAAAGAACTGCTTCTGAAGCAAATTTTTCCCCTCTCTCAAATTCCAATGACAACAGCAATTCAACAACAGAAAATACTGACTTAATCAATTCGCTTGTTGACTCTCAAGTGAATTTGGTTAATACAACTTTACAATCTATTAATGAATTAATTCCTACATTGACAACAGAACAGACACCAATTCTCCAAAATTTTATTGCTACTATTACAGCTCAATTTGATTTGTTAACCAAATCGATCAATATTCTAAAAAAGCAAAAACAACAACAACAACAGCCACTTTATGGACAACCTCCTGCTGCAGCAAATCAATATGCTATTACAGCAGAAGAATTAGAAAGACAACGCAGTATTGTCTTGAGTGGGCTACCTGAATCAACAAAGCAACTTCCCTCAGAACGGATGGCTGATGATGTTGTGGCAGTGAAACATCTACTCGATACGGTGGGGATCGAGTGCACTCCTAAAAGCATTTTTCGTATGGGAGTGTTCAAGCAACCCACCACTCAACGGTCAAGATTGTTAAAAATTATTTTTCCTACACGATCTTTTCAGTCAGATGCAATCAAACAATGGAAAATTAAAGGAAAGAAAATGTTTCAACACCTCAACATTCGCCCTTCATTGACATTGGAACAACGAAATCGCAGAAAACACTTAATTGACGAGTGCAAGAAGAAGAGGCAAGAAAATCCTGATCAGGATTGGATTGTTTATGCAGACACAATTATTTTGAGATCGGAGGTACATATTTTTCGTAAACAAAATTAGCCAAAGCAATAAACTAAAAAAATTCTTTATACCTGGGGCTCCAAATAAACTAAGCGGAAATATTAATATCGATAACAATAGTCCAAAAAATAATTCTTTTAAAAATAGATTAAGTTGTATTTATCAAAATGTTCGATCCATTAGAAACAAAATTCCCGAGTTAGACTTACAAATAGCCACCCATAATCTTAATATTATTTTTCTTAGTGAGACATGGTTAACAGAAAATGATAACCATTTATCGTATTTGACGTCATCAAAAAATTACCACATTTTATTAGCTAATAGAGATACTAACTTTAAGTCAAAGGGTGGTGGTGTAGCTATATTGATCAAACATGGTATCCCATTTAAACAAATAGAACTTACAAAAATACTTGGTATTGATGTTTTAGCAATCGATATTATTACACCATCACATAAAAACTCTATTAGAATTGTTTTAGTATACAGACCCCCCAATATCAAAGATTTAATAACTAGAAAGCTAATTAACACTTTACAAACAATTTCCCATGGTAATGTAATAATCATAGGAGATTTTAATTTTAACTCAAACATCATTGATTGGAAATCCATTACCGCTAGTAACCAAATGGGAAAAGAATTTCTAGAATTTTTAAGTAATTTCAATTATTCCAATAATATTTTCACTTCTACACATTGCAAGGGTAGTACCTTAGATCTTATTTTAACTAATAATTCTTCATGCTTTGAAACTTATGTTATAGAAGGACTTTCTACATCTGATCATTTCTCTATTAAATTTTTCATCGAAGCTCTCCCTCCACCACACCAAATAATCAAATATAGGGATCTCTCTAATATAAATTTATTAAATACCCACCTAATAAGAAACTTTGATAAAATCTATGAAAACTTTTTTATTTCTGATAAATATTCATTTTTTGCTAAAACTATTAATGAATTATTGGAAATTTATGCTCCTATTCGTAACACAAATGTTAAACCTTTTAAGCCTAAATATCCACAATATATTAAAAAATTAATAAAAGACAAAGAACGAATATTTAAAGCTTATAAAAAAGACAATTCTATAGACTTAAACCAATACAAGAATTTGACTAAAACTACTAAGCATCTTATAAATAATTATCAGTCACAACGTATAAAAAATTTAGTTTCTAATCAAAATAACCTGTTTAAATTTTTAAATAAATTTAACTGTAAAAAATCTCAACTATCTTGTATTGAATTAAATGACAAATTTATATTTGAAGATAAAGCTAAAGCTGATGCATTCGCTTCTGTTTTTTCAAAGTCTTTTTCAAATATTCCAACTTTCGTTTGTCCTAAGCTAACAAATTACAATATTAATTCATTCTTGGATGACATTGAATTTAGCATATTAGACATTGATAACATTCTAAAATCTCTACCAAATAACAATTGTGCTTCAGATGATAATTTAAGCTATAATATCCTAAAATCATGTCGTGCTGTAATATCTCCTTTTCTATCAGATCTTTTTAGAGAATCACTGGACTCAGGTAACATTCCAGATTTATGGAAAATTTCTCATATTACTCCTATTTTTAAAAAAGGTTCAAAAACTGACCCGTCTAACTATAGACCAATAGCTATAACTTCTGCCATAAGTAGAGTCATGGAACGATTAATACTTAATCACATTATTGAACATCTTAATGTTAACAATATTATTGTTGATAGTCAATTTGGATTCATGAAAAAACGCTCGACCACCCTTCAAATGCTGTCTAACTTCAATTCCTGGTATGATGCAATCTTGAACAATAAAATAATCGATTGTATTTTCATTGATATAAAAAGTGCATTTGACTCAGTCCCCATAAAATTTTTAATTAATAAGTTACATACCATTGGTATAAGAGGTAAAGTACTGAATTGGATTTCTAATTTTTTAAATCACCGTACAGCCAAAGTTAAAATTAACAATCAATTTTCGGAAACTATTCAATTATACTCCGGTGTGCCTCAAGGCACAATCTTAGCTCCAGTTCTCTTTATTATATACATCAATGACTTATCAAGCTCTATTCCTACGTCTATCAATAGCTCACTTTTTGCAGATGATCTTAAGATTTATCAATGTCGTAATAAAAATGATTCATCTAATCTTCAATCAAGTTTAGATAAAATTTCTAAATGGTGTTCTGATAATGCTCTAGAAATTTCTTTTAACAAAACTCTAGTCTTACATATTGGTACTAATAATCCTAAACATAACTACTATTTCAATGGTCTACCATTGCAATGTGTTTCTACAATCTCAGATCTAGGAATTGATTATACAGATACCTTATCTTTTGAACCTTATTATAAAAAAATTGTAAAAAATGCCTATTTTAGGGGTATGTCAATTATTAATAATCTTCACACGTCTAATCCCAAAATTTGGGGTATGGCATTTAAAACATATATTAGGCCAATTTTGGAATATTCTTCGGTTATATGGAATCCCAAAACTAAAAAACATAGAGAAAAATTAGAAAAGGTGCAAAAATGGTATACAAGGGTGGCTCTTTTTAAGTGTAAGATCCATAAGAAAAACTATATCCAAAGATTAAAATTATTTAATCTCGAATCACTGGCCCTCAGAAGAGTTTTATTCGATTTATCAACTATTTTTAAGATCATTAAAAATCACACCCACTTTACTTCTTCACAATTCTTTATGTTATCTGATAGACCTAATAGGAATAGACATAATTATCAAATAAAAGTAGCTCGTAAAACCTCCAAAACTGAACACTGGATCTTTAACAGATCCATTAATCTCTGGAATGCCCTACCTATAGAGATTGTTAACATTGATAACTATAAGCTATTTTGGAACAGCCTTAGATCATACCTTATAGAACTAGAAAGTACCAATGATAGCCTTCTATATTATCGCTATTGATATTAAAAATCAAAACTAACCTTACCCCCTACCCACTCCCCCCACCTACCCTCTCCCTCCACCTACCCACTCCCTCCACCTACCCACTCCCACCACCTACCCACTCCCTCCACCTACCCCACCCTCCACCTACCCACTCCCTCCACCTACCCTCTCCTCCCTCTTCGCTCCCATCTAGCTTTTATACTTCACATCTTATATTCCAATAATAGCCTCTTTACTATCGATATTAATATTTCTCCAAACAATAACCCAGTTCAGATAATAATACTTTTCTCAGGCTTTAAAACGGCTGTTTATTGCTTTGTGGCGTTTTGTTTACCCAATACTCAAATGTCCCAATCGATATATATATATAATTTACTTTTTATTTTTTCGTTGCCGTGATCTTATTATTTTTTATTTTTACTTAAATTTTAATTGATTTTTAATTTTAAGATTTATTAGTTAAGAATCAAATTTATTTCTTAAATTTTTATTTAAAAACCATGGTCAATGTTCAAATTACTTTCAAAGCACATAAAAATAAAAGAACTACTTCTTAATCAAATATTAATTTATTACATGTCCATGGTTTTTAAATTTCCATTTTTTATTATTGACTCAATATATTTTGTTTCCTAGACATTATAGTATTTATTTTTAAATTTAATTGATTTATTTTTAAATTTTAAGATTTATTATTTGAGAATCAAATTTATTTCTTAAATTTTTATTCAAAAACCATGGTCAATGTTCCTATTTCTTCCAAAACGCCAAAAAATAAAAGAACTGCTTCTTAATCAAATATTAATTTATTACATGTCCATGGTTTTTAAATTTCCATTTTTTATTATTGACTCAATATATTTTGTTTCCTAGACATTATAGTATTTATTTTTAAATTTAATTGATTTATTTTTAAATTTTAAGATTTATTATTTGAGAATCAAATTTATTTCTTAAATTTTTATTCAAAAACCATGGTCAATGTTCCTATTTCTTCCAAAACACCAAAAAATAAAAGAACTGCTTCTTAAGTAAATATAATTTTTACATGTCCATGGTTTTTAAATTTTAAATTTTGTTTTTACTTATTGACTTCAATATTAATTGTTTCTGATTTAAGAGGCTCCTTTGTGAGTCCATTCGGATAAAGTTTATATAATTAAAAAAAAATTAATTTCTAAAATTTTTTTAATCTTACACAGTAGCAAGTAAAGGATAACGTTTGTGATATGTAATTGATCGAATTCCTGATTGATGTGTCCGTAGTTTTTTCCAAGGTTTTGTGCCCAGTTCTAAGTCCATCCTTTAAAAGGGTTTTTTAATAAAACAAATTTTTTTTAAAATCTTCAATTAATAATTGAAGTTTTCCAACAAAAATTAATGGAAAAATTAAATTTACTCATATATTTTAAAATTCATTACGAAAAAAAATAAATTTTCCCAATTTAAAAAGTTAAAAAAGAAACCAAGAAAATGTTCTATCCAATCCACCAATAAAAAGATTATTTCCTTCCGGATGTAACACCATACATGATAGCCATCTTGTCCCAGGAAAAAGTTTCCTTTTTAATTCATTTCTGGCCAAATCATAAATTAAAATATGTTGCCTAGAAGAAAATATTTCTTCAGAAAAATTTTAAAGAAAAAAACCAAACCTCGTTCCAACAAAAAATAACGGTTTTGAAGGATGAAATAAAACAGATTCAACAAAACCTTTACATTTTGTAAAAGGTTTCTAAATTATTAAAAAATAAAAATAAAATAATTTAAAAATAATTAAAAAATTAAAACCTGTGAATTACATTTACTTAATTGGTGAATTAAAACAGTACTAGAAGAATATTGAAAACCAAGAGTTGCAAAATAATCTCCTTTTCTATGCCAAACTACACTTCGAATTTTCTGAAAAATTTTTTTTTGATATTTAAAAATAATTTTAAACAAAAAAATTCAAAAAATAATTTATTTCCAAAAGAAAAAATTATTTGACTTCGGCCAGACTCGAACTGGCGACCTTCAGTGTGTTAGACTGACGTGATAACCAACTACACCACGAAGCCATATTATTAACTCAAGTTAATAAAAATAGTTTTGTACAAAAAGGAATATCTTAAGCAAAACTTAAATCGCTAAAAATTTAAAATAATTTACAAAAAATTTAAGTAAAATAAAATTTTTAATTAAATTAATATTAAAAATCTTACATCTTTCATTTCAAGTTGAATTCCCTCCATTTTTGAATTTTTATTATTAATATTTAATAATAAAAATTTAATAATAATCAATATTTAAATTAGTTGAAGTTTTAATTTCTTCTTCCTTCTTTTCATTCTCAATTTTGTCTTCCCTTAATTTATTTATATTTTCACGTTTTCTTGTCATTTTCAAATTTTATTAAATTAATTATTAAATTAAAATAATTAAATTAAAATAAAGAAATAAATATTAATTAATATAAATTTAATGCCTTAAAATTTCTAATTGTAAGTGTCAAAAATATTTATGCCAAAAAAATTTTTTTAACGCAACCCGTTTCCATTTAATATAAAAAATAAGTAAAAAATTTAACAGTTATTTCTCCACTAATTTTAATTTTGAGATAATTCTTCTCCAGAAATGGAAAAATATTACATAAATTATGAAGGAAAAATTCAATGTTTTAATAACATAACAATAACTTCATGCCCAAAAAAAGCTTGTGGAAAATAAAGGGAGTTTTTAACTGTTAAATATTCAAAAATATATTCGTCAAATATTATTGTCTAGAATTATAAATTACCTAAATCAAAAAATACACACAAAAATCGCATTTTTAAAAATTTTCGTATCGTCTCAAAAATCAAAAATTAACCCCAAACTTGTCAAGTTTCAATTAATGTAGTCAAATCACTAAATGAATTTCTTTGATTATTTAATTTTGATTGAGAAAGAGGAATTTCCAAACATTCTCTTCTTACACAAAGCCATTCTCCAAGAGTTGTATAAATTGTGCAACTAATTATTTTTTTGTTCTTCCTAAAAATTTAAAATTATTTTTTAAAATATTCTAAAAAATTAACCAAATAAATTTTTTGTAAACGTCTACAATTTTTATCTTCACAAAGAGGATTGGGACGAATTGTCTCTTGAGGGAAAAAATCAACAAGTCTAAAAATTGAATTTAATAAAATTTTTTAAACAAAAAAACAAACGCATTATAGCCAAGAAAATTAGTAACTTGACCAAAATTTAATAAAAATCTTTAAAAAAAATTTTTAAGAAAATTATTTTAAAAAATACAAACTTGAGTGCATTTTGTACTAATAAACCAGCAATAACAGCCATTGTTGTTGGTAAACCTTTAAAAAAAATTAAAATATATAAATTTATGGTACTATGCGTTTATATCCCCACAATTCCGCAAATGTTTGTCCGCACTTTTTTTTTATTCTTTCTCCTCAAAAAGGATGAGAAACGGTCAAGTTAACCACCATTTTTTCTTCTCCTTCTTTCTTTTCTCACAACGTTTAAAATGTTCAAGTAAAAATAGAGGAAGACAAATATTCGCTTATAGAAAAATATAATGGTAAAAATAAGAGAATGTTTAGAAATTATTTAGGTAATAGTTTGTTTGGTACCCCCCCCTTCCCATTTTTCTGATTTGACCGAAATACTGGCCTATGAACATTCAGAAGTTTGTACAAACAAATACTCATTTGAAGCAGTTCGACGAGATGAGTCAAATGACACCAAAATCATCGTGATTGAACAAGATTGGACAAAGTTACGATACAAGTTACGATACTTGCGCCACCAATGATTTTTGAACATTTTGAGCTATATATCTCGGTCCACAGGCATTTACGGGAAAAAGAGTGGTACCGTTAGACTCAGCACCTTTTATTACCTTATGACATTTTGAGCATTAATTTATTGGGGTGAGGCAGAACGGAAATGGGCCAATGATGGAGAAATGGAAGGAAAAATGAAAAAATGGTCAGAAAAATGGGGGGGGGGGTTGGGTACCAAACAAACTATTACCTAAATAATTTCTAAACATTCTCTTATTTTTACCTTTATATTTATAAGCGAATATTTGTCTTTTTCTATTCTTACTTGAACATTTTAATCGTTGTGAGAAAAGAAAGAAGGAGAAGAAAAAATGGTGGTTAACTTGACCGTTTCTCATCCTTTTTGAGGAGAAAGAATAAAAAAAAGTGCGGACAAACATTTGCGGAATTGTGGGGATATAAACGCATAGTACCAAATTTATATACTTGCAGCACATACACCATCTTATTTGAGAATTTTTTCATCAATATTTGAAGCCACAATTAATGGAGGAAGACACTTAAGGAATAATAAAATTAATTTAATGTAAAGAGAAAATTGAGAAAAATAATTAAAAAGGGAAAATAATTTTAATTTTCGAATTATAAATTTGGGAATACAGTTTAAAAAGTCCATTCTCTTTAACTTCGGACGGTCATTAAGTTGGGGAAAGCCCCAAAGCGATACAATAATTATTGATATGCTCGATTTAATATACCTATAATAGTTTGAGCACTAAGGGTCAGACATTGTCAATTTTTTACTTTCAACAAAAAAGTTTTAAAGGATCCCCTAAAGCGGATTTTTCCCTTTTCAAAATTTATAAATTAAAAATTACCACAAAACATGCAGATTTTCCAGGTTCCATAAATTGTATATGTCCAGATACCGCATTTTCACTAACTCCAGATTCAATCCAGATTTGACCAATTTCATTACATGCCTTTAAAAAATTACAAATTATAATTAAAAATTCAAACCGTATTAACAGCAATTCTAGCTTCAAAATTATCAACACAACAAAGTAAAATATCTACAGATTTTTTAGTCAATCCACCTTCCCTATAAAATTAAATTTTTATTTTTTAAATAATTCAAAAAAGAACCTTATTCTTTGACAAAAAATATCAAAATTAGCAACTGTTGTTATATTCATATTATGAACTTCAAATTCAACATCTGGATTAATATGCCTGTAAAAATACAAATAATATGAAATTTAAATTAATTAAAGGCCTATCTCGTATTAGAAAAAAATCTATTCTTGAAAAATTTAAAGACAGAAAATTTTCTTTTCCATAATTGTCTCTCTCATGACGCCAGCAATGTTATATACTATCTCGCTTTTGTCTGCTTATAAAGAGAAAAACAAAATACGTATTTTTTCTTTCTAGTGTTTCCTCCGAAAACTATTCCGGAGGGTTCTATTTGAAAGAAAGCAAAATAGAGTTAAGGCAAAGAAAATCGGAAAGACAAAATCCAGAAAAGATAACCATTTTATATTTCATAAATTCTTATTAAATTTAAAAAATTACATTAAAGTATCCCGAGCTGCTTCCACTTTACTCAATCCACTCTGATGTGGCTGATAAAATAATCTATTCATATTAGCCAATTCAACACGATCATAATCAAACTTAAAAAAAGTAAATTTAAAGTAAAATTAAAAAAACCATTATAATCTTTCCAATTCCACACCGAGTTAACATTTCAGCCACAACAGAACCAACACCTCCAATACCAACAACTACAACTGTTTTCTGACGGATACGTTCATAATTGTCAACAATTCCCTTTAAAAAATTGAATTGTCTTAAATAAAAATTTTTTTACTAATAAAACGGGGATGGGCTTAGTTAAGGCTTCAAAATCTTATTCGGATCGAATTTAGCGTTAATTGGTAGTAAAATGTCGGGTTTCGGGTCGGGTTTTAAAATTTTCTTGCAATTAGTGTCGGATTTCGAGTGAAAAGACCGGGTTTCGAGCATTCCGGCCCATCCTGGTTCACTCTAAAATATTATCATAATTCTAAAAAATAACAAAAAAGTCGTCCAAGGGTTAGATGAATTTTTAAATAAATTATTTTAAAAACAATAAATTTATTAATAAACCATTCGTTTAAGTGCCATTAGACGAGAATAAGGATTTGAGTCCACCACTTCTGCACTCATCTCGACAATTTTTGGACGTGTAGCTGGTTCAGTCATCTTAAAATAATGTAAGAATTTCGATACATTTCTTTGAAAAATTTAAAATTGTTGGAAAAGATAAGACCAATTAGAAAATAAAAAACTGATTGGAAAGTGTAAATTACCAAAGTTTGATTTTAGGCCTAAATTTAATCAATTCGCACAATTAAAATGTGAAAAGCAAATTTAATTTTAGGCCAATAATTTTTTAAAATAAATTGAACAACCTTTCTACGCTCATCAAATTCTTCTGAAAAGTTATCTTCATCAGATGCCATAAAACTTTGAGAAAAATAATGTTTCTTTTTAACGATAAAAATATAAAAATAAAAATTTGTTAAGAAACTTATTGAAACAGTTTTTTACAAATTTATTAGTTTATCGAAAGAAAAATAAAATTAAAATAATTAGTGAAAATAATTAACATAGAGATCAAATTTTAATGCTACCCTTTTCTGAAAAAACGATTAAAAAATCCTTTTTGGTAAGAAAATTTTTTGCCTTTCTCAACTAAAATTAAAATACTCATCAATATGTCTATGCTAATTGTTTTTTCGAAAAAAAAGTAGCAATAGATCATAACCCAAAAACTTAATTTTTGTTTAAAAGATAAGTCTAAAAATAAACAATCAGCGGGAAAAATGATTAAACCAGTATATATTATCAAAGTAAAAAAGAACCACATTCTTGATTAAATTTACGCTTTGTTGATCGTCGTTTGGAATGAGAAAGCTCACGTCTAACCCACTTAAGTTGAAGACGTTCAGAGTGTTGAATGGCATAAAAAAGCATTTTCTCACTTTCATCAAGTAGATCACGAGGTTTTAAACTATAAATTTTGAAATTAAATTTTAATATGTAATAAGATTTAGAATATTGAATGTGTGAACCTAAATGAATATTTTTTTCAAATATAAACTTTGGGAATGTATAATATATCATTCTGCCTCCAATTCATTATAATATACGAATTGCGAGCAAATAAGGAATGAAAATTAAATTAATATTTTTGTTTGCCCTCCTAATCTACATTAGAGTTGACTCTAAAAAAAGGTTTTTAGAGACGAAAAAAGAAGTTTTGGGTTATTTAATTTCGAGATGTTAAAAAATTTAGATTAAACCTAGTGTCAACAGCAAGTGAAATTATTTGTCCAATTCTGGAAGTAAATCCATCCAATAAGGTAGTTGAAATCCTTTTTGCTTCCGAGGTGTTCAAATACCTAAAATATTTAAATTATAAAATGTAACAGGGTACTAAATCATTAAAGACAATAAAAAGTCAGAAACCTGCACAGAAAGATGCCCAACAAATAAAAATAACGCTGTCTTGCTACGATACGAGTAGCTTCCAATTTTTTTGAACCAGCAGCAATAACATCAGAATTAATTTTGTTGAAAGCATTTGGCAAGTTAAACTAAATAATAAATTTTCTATTTAAAAAAAATTAAAAGAAGTTAACCCGACAAATATCTCCAATTCCTGCAGAAAGTAACCAAACAGGAACAACAGTTTGATGTGTTTTTTTGATTGATTCGGGCAACTTTTGTCCAATTAATGGGAAGATTTCTAAATATAAACATAATTTTCATAAAAAATAAAAAAGCAACCAAGAGGAGTTCCTGATTCAAATACACAATGAACATTTGCTTTCATTGCTAAAATACTATCCAAATCGTAATAATCCTCGCTGACAATATGTTGTTGATTTGAAGATGAAGGAAGTTGATCTAATATATGACCCGTTGAATTTAACCCAAAATCGTTCATTAATTAGCTCGAAATTTAAAATTTGAAATAAAAATAAAAAAGTAAAAATCGATGTAAAAAAACGATTCAAGTTCATGCGATATAAATATTTATATTTATACGAGATAAAAAAGCAACATAGAATAAACAGCATAAAAATCAATTTTCTGGCAACTGTAGATCTAATAATTTCATAATTTTAACTTTTGGAAATAACTTCTTGATTTCCTCTTTCCTACTCGAATTTGAAGCTATGGCTGTAACGGACTTCTCGTCATCAAAGAGATTTCTAATCGCAGGTGAGCAATTTTTTAGTACATCCTCTTTTGTTGCATTCCATATTTGTGAACATAGATAACTACAAAAATAAAAATAATATTTATTTAAAAAAGCAAAATTAATACTTTGTAAATTCCGTATTGACATTTCGAAAGACTGCCAAAATTGCGGAAGTAGCAGTGGATTTGATGGTGCTTTGTCCACTTATAAGCTCACAAACTAAACTTCTTTTTGCAGCTTCAAACTCGGCTTCATTAAGTTCTCCATCAAGGACAGAAAGCTTAAATTAAAAACAAAATTTATTGCAAGACAGCAATTAAAGACTAACCACTGTTTCGCGCGTTTTCTCATAAGCTTGCTTCAACTTCGAGCAACGATACAAATTTAGAGTGATCGATTTCCTGTCTGGTAAAATGTAGATTGACGCATCATAGGCTAGACCATTGCCTCGCACAGAATTCCAAAGAGGACCTTCAGATTGGCAGATATATTGAGCAAGAAGTAGAGCAGACATTGTTGATTCGCCTTTCCAATCATCGTTGAATTTGGCTTTGCGAAGCAAAAAGGCGCTTTCTGAACCGCCGACAGAAATTGCATTGACCTCTCCAATTTTATCCCAGCTTTGTCCATAATCTGGATCGCACTTAAGTAATAAAAATTAGATGAGTAAATTAAAAAAAGTAGGGAATTTAAAAACCATTACTTCTGATTGTTCTTTAGGCCTTTGATTCTCCAAAAATGTCCAAGCTTTTCCAATTTGTTCACTCTGTGGTAGATTAGCAAAACTTCCAACAAGATGTAAATTCAGCAATGACGAGAGAATTGAGTTGTTTAATTCTTTTAAATTATCCATTACTGAATCAAGTTTTCCATTCTCCAATGAAGCAATGGAACGGTGGAACTTTTCGTTACTAAGATAGTCAAACATGAATTCGTTGGAATCTAAACTGAAACTTTTTTTACATGACTAATAAAATAAACCTTTATCATAGACCATATAGTTAGACAAAAAATGAGCAATAGAATTTCCATCACGTTTGTACTCGGCTGCATAATTCGCTAATTTTTTTGCACAAATAAGTATACGCTGCGGATTGAGAATGAGTTTCTTGAGAAAGATTTCTGTCCATTCGGCCAATTTATGAAAGTTGTTTGTGTCAACACGAAGGTGGAGAGAGATGAAGCGTGAGTAAACACCTGAGACACCCAATGAGACAGAGCTTGAAACTAAGTCCCGAGTGACTAGTTTTGCGACTTCGTCATAAGTCCATACTTTATTGTCAAATGTCGCATCAGATTGGAATAATAGTTCGGCCCATAACATCATATATTTTCGAATATTAGCAGGTATCTTGCTTGTGTCTATCAAAGTATTTGCCTTAAAATAAAGACTATTTATCACTGATAAAAAGACACAAATCAAATACACATTACCTCGAAGAAATCACTTTTAATCTCATGCCACGTTGTGTGAATAGGCCAGCCATTAAGAACAGTAGAATTGACGGGAATAAGACGAAATTTTTCGAGATCCTTTACAATGAGATCTTTAAGCACATCTGATGTAGGTTGTTTTGCCTGAAATTTCAGGAAAATTAACATTTAAAAGAATGATAAAAATTAACCTTATTTTCCGCAATAGCATCAGCCAAGATTTGAGCCTTCTTTTTGAGTCCATCTTTGCCAAATAACTTCACTTGATCAGCAAGTCGTGTTTTCTCCTGATTGAAGAAATTAAAATAAATTATATAAAAAAAATACCTTCTCCATCAATTCGTCTACTGCTTCCTTGTTTGGTTTGCCAATAACACAAACACAGTTTTGCGTGAAAGTTTCAGAGAATAATGAATGCCAAAAATAGGCAGGTTCATCACGTAGTCGTTTCAAAATTTGTACCTTTAAAAAATAAAAACTTTCATAATTCATACAATTCAAAAAATTTAAAACCTCTTGAAGTCGTTCTTCCAAATCCTTTTCCTGCTCATTTTCATTCGATGGGCCGTACAATTGGTGACCAATAATTGCGTCTGCTATGTATGAGTGAGGACTGTTTTCCATTTTAAGCCGAAAACTTCTGATTTGTTGATCTATCATAAAGTGTAGTCGTTCCATGTCAAAAGCATCAATTTTTGAATGCTCAGCTGCAGTTTTTGAGAAAAATCTGTTAAAAATCATTTTTTAAATAAATAAAGGTTAAGCAGACCTATCTCGAATTTGATCACTCTTTGTAACAGGAACATCTTCAAATGTCATAACAATCTCACAATCAGTCTGTTCAATCAAGGAAATAGAAACTGATGAACAAAATGGTTCTTCAATTTGAACGAAATCCTTTTTCAAAGGTGCCCCAGAAGTATCAACGAGATAATCAAAGAGAAGAAGAAGCGCACGATTCCTGTATACTTCAGATCCTTTAGGCCCTAACCATGAGATCTCCACCACTCCTAAATATATTTGAAAATATTTTTCTAATCCAAAAATTTAATACCAATTGTATCATCATCGGCAGGGCATATAACGACGCACTTTTGTTTTTTGATTGGCGGTGTCCGTAAAGAGAAGTGACGATTGAAGTTTTCCGGAATCGATGTGATGTTTGGTCCTTCTACTTTTGCCACAGCTTGAAGCAAATCATCATGGTCAATGCTGCCCGAAACAGTGATGAACTAAAAATAAAAATTTGAAACGATTAAAAATTAAAAAAATAAACCATGTTATTGAGATTGTAAAAGCGCTTGTGAAATTCCCTAACCCGCTGAGCTGAACACTGTGTACGGAGTTCCTCCAATCGACCACCGGCCGTTACTGCATAGCTGGAATTAGGTGGGTAAAACAGTTGCTTTCTTTTTCTGTCGACGATAATCTCCATGTCGTTTTCTTTAGCCTGCATCTCACTGTAGACGACGCCAGAGTCTGCACCATTCCCGTCAATATGGTGAACCTCCGTAAGGTATTGAGCGTCCTGAATTTTCAGAATTATTTTAAAATTGATTATTTAATAACCGTTAACAAGGGAGAGAGCAAATGATCGATAAAAATTGGCAGGATTTTTAAAAATCCTACATGGCCAACTGTTGTTGAACTATAGACTGTATAGTCTTGACATGTCGCTGCATTTGTTCCAGAAGCCAAACCTACAATAAATGAACATTATTTGGGCATGGGTAATCTTTTGAAAGAAAAAATTTTACTCTATCATTTTGTACTTTTCCAAACAAATTAATGTCTTTAGCTTCTGATCGAAAATTAGGAAATTCAACCCAAGCAAAAACGCAATATAAGAATTCATAAAACTTACAACGATTCGCGATGACGTCAAGAAACCCCTTATAGGGGTAATTTCTGCTGCCCATGAAAACCAGATGCTCCAGAGTGTGCGGTAATCCATCATTAGTAGTCGTTTCGGTAACTGAAAGTTAATGAATAAAATAAGAACTCCGAAACGCAAGACTCATTATTACTTTGTGAAAAAGTATAGAGGCACTTACCAAAGCTAATCTTCCCTTTCACCATCGGTCCTGGAACGGAGGCAACTGCAATTCTAAGCTTTGATCGTACAGATCTGTAGACCGACACATCAACATCTCCATGTACATTGATTTTTGCAATCCTGTTGAACAATCTCATCATTCTTTTTGACACGTGAACCACCCAAAATAAAATACAGAACTAAAAGAAAAGGACGATAACACAAATATTTATAATGAGGTAAAATTTTGAGGTTTAAGACAAGTGTCTTTTATAGTAAAAAAATTTGTAAATTAAAAACAAAAAAGTTATATGTATGTATAACAAAAAGTTATACCCTAAAATTGAAAAGTGGTGCAGCCCGATTAGGCGCGACCGATTAGGCGCCAAGCTTTTAAATTAAATATCGAACAAAATGCTCCTCCAAATCCTAAAAATAGATCGATTCTGATAATTCCGGATAAATACAGAGGTTTTGAATCAGAGCCTGGAGTTTTCGCGCAGTTTCTTTTAGCAAACAGTGGATAAGGAGACCTTATCTGGTCTTTGGTTGTGAAAGTTTTGAAGGTTTTTTAATTTTGGGAAATTTTTAGTTAGAAAATTTTTTTTCGAAATTTTTTTTTAATTTTTGTTTTGAATTTCAGAATGGTCCCATTTGATCTAATTGATCATAATCAGAATATTTAATTTTAAAGCTTTGGCGCCTAATCGGCCGGCGCCTAATCGGGGGTGTCCTATCGAAAAGACTAGGGCTCGGATTTATATTTAAATAAGGCACAAAAACGACTTTAGTCATTAACAAGCATTGACTGACCAGTCTGACCCATGTCTGATAAAAATTGAACGTATTTAAAACGGAAGCATACTCAAAATTTAAATCAAAAAATTTAATTTATTTGTAAACGAGAAAAAAAATTTTTTAATAACAAATTATAGTTTTTTCAAGTATTATTGTCTTTTAAAATTTGTGTTTCACATAGCGTCTTGTAAATTCCATCACGACTTAACAATTCGTTATGAGTTCCTTTAAGAATTAAATAATTGTTGTAAATTAAAAATTAATATTTTTACCCAATTCAACAACTTTTCCTTCATCAATAACAGCAATAACATCAGAATTTTGAACTGTTGACAATCGATGTGCAATTATAAGGCAAGTACGACCTTCACGTGCTGTTTCTAGTGCTTTTTGTACAACCTATAAAATTATAAAAAAATTTGGAAGGAATTCCAATCTTTTAAAAGTCTTGGAAATTTAATCTAAAATTTAACTTCGCTTATTTATAGGGTTGGGGTTTTCGAGTGGGCCGACGTTCGAGTCATTTTTGTCGAGCCTAATTTTTATCGGGTCTCCCGACCGAGTTTTTTTCTGGCCAAAATTTTATGCCCGACTTGATCTTTGGACCGGGCCTAACCCTACTTATATACTTATTAATCAAGAAATTGACTGCTTCTAATAGAACATTTTTTAACGTAATTTTTGCTATTCTAACATCTAATACTCAAATTATTTTATTTTTACTCATTCTTGTAATGCTCTTTAATCAATCATTTTTTTTTGAAAAAGAAAAACTAAAAAGCTTCTAAAGCTTTGACCTAACAAAAATTCCCTCAAATAAATTTATATATAACCTTTTCATTTTCTGTATCCAAAGCAGAAGTTGCCTCATCTAACAACAACACTGCAGGATCACGTATTAAAGCTCTAGCAATAGCTATTCTTTGTTTTTGTCCTCCACTTAATTGTATTCCTTTTTCTCCTACACGAGTATCATAACCTTTTTTAAAGAAACCTTTTTAAGAATTTAAAAATTAAAAAAAAACCATCAGGCAATCCAATAATAAAATTATGTGCATTTGCAGAAGTACAAGCATTTACAATTTTTTCATGAGAAATCTTCTTTTGGTCAGGTAATCCATATAAAATGTTGTCACGTATTGAACAATCAAAAAGTATTGGCTCTTGCGAGACTATACAAACTTGAGAACGAAGTTTGTGGATATTCATATCTTCTATTGGGATACCATCCAAAAGCTGAAAACTTTTTAAAAATATTTAAAAAATTAATTTATTTCGGAACTGACACTTTCGACTTGTTTTCTAAATACCCAAGCGGTCATCAAAAAGAAAAAAAAAACTAACAATAGAACCACGTATAGGCGAATAATAACGTTCAAGTAAAGCCATTATTGTACTCTTTCCACATCCAGAAAATCCAACTAAAGCAACAGTTTGACCACTTTGAACATCCAATGAAAGACCACGAAGCACTGGAACGCCAGGGCGAGACGGGTAAGAAAAATAAACATTTCGAAGTTGAATAAGGCCCTTTACATTCTTTAAAAAATAAAAAATATAAAGGAGAATATTTAAATCATAACAAACCTGTCTTACTCCAAATTCGGATAAAGAATCGATTTGTGGAGGATATTCAATTAAATGGAAAAGTAAAGAAGCAGCCAAACGTGCCTTTACTACATCAGGTATAAATGAACTGAAGAAAGTTTATAAATTAAAAATAATTTTAAAAAACCTTATTTGTCCAACCGATTGTCCGCAAAAAGCAATGGCAAAGAAAACACTAAAAATATTTTTTTAAATATTAAAATTTAGAAAAAATACCGAAAAACAGCCGTTGGAGTCATACTTCCATCTAATACAAATATCGAACCGATCCAAAATGCTAATGCATACATAAAGAAAATTAAAGATTGAGAAAATGCAAAAACTGCCCCATAAACGTGTACTTGTTTAATATTTGAACTAAAAGGGGAAAATATAAAAATTTTAAATTTCTTGTCCTTTACAAAATAAAAGACAAAAATAAATTAAAAAAACCTACAGGTACGGATTAACCAATTGTTCACAATATTTTTGATGAAAAACCAATTGTTTATTTAATCCTTGAACAGTCCGAATATTTTCTACAGCTTCGGAAGCAACCTTGCCAGCATCTTCTAACAATTTTGTATCTCTCATTTTCTTTCCAAACTTAAAAATAATTTTTAGTAAAATTAATGAATATAAAAACCTGTTGTTGCATTTCAAAATAACCGCTAGCAATTATGAGAGCTAAATTTTAAAATAATTTTAAAAATATTATAAAAAATCACTAACGAATAATTATAAGTAAAATTATTGCCAATTTCCAGCCGTTTAAAAATCCAATAGCAATAGCACCAATTAGAGTAACGATTGATGAAATAACAACCATTAAACGAGTAAATACCTAGAAACAAAAATTAAATTTCTATTTTGTGAGAAAATTTTGAAACACTTCAAAAAACTGAAACAAGAGGGGGGAGCGTTTCCTTAGAAAAATACAGTGACAAGTTAGTAAGACAACTTCAACAAAAGAATTGAGCCCAAAAGAAAAATTAAATATCTAACAATAAGAATAAAACCAAACTAACATATCGAACGTTTGGTGCATCAGTCGCAAAACGAGTACATAATTTCCCTGTATTATGCCTTTCATCATCATAAAATCCAATATCTTGGCGAAGAAGATTTCTAAAAGATTCTAATCGAAGTTTTTTAGTTAAGGCTTCTCCACTTCTGCCAAGCATATTTGCCTTCAAAAAATTCGTTAAATTAATTTTTAAATAAAATTTAACCGAAATAAAGAATCCAAGAGCAGCAAAAAATCCCAAAACAATAAACATTGCAGACCAAAATAAAGAATCCCTTTCAAGTTCTTCTGGTGGTTCACTGAACACAGCAAAAATTTGTGCATAGACGAGAGCAAAAAATGGAACGACTAAACCAGATATAGTACAACCAAAAAGACCAAGAAATGCAAAGGACCAATTTCCTTTGTTAAATTGAAAGACTTTTGCGATTGATGAAGGTTTTATTTGACTCTAAAAATTGATTTAAAATGTCTAAAAAAGAATCTATGAAAAACCTCTTCCACTTCTAATTGCATTTGACTGATTTGAACAACATCTGAAGTGTCTGATGTCCGTCTCCTTCTTAATCCTTTCAATGGGCCAGGAGACGAAGACGATTTAGGAGCAATATGTTGTGATGATTTTCGAGGGGAAGCAGAAGAAGCAGCACCTTTTAATGAACGAAGAGAACCTCTAGATGAAGACAATAATGGTTGTGCATCACCACCAGTTTGTGGTGAAAGGTCTATATCGTCAGTTTGTTCGTCTTCATTTGTAGTTAATCCATCCTCTTCTAGAATTATAGAAAATTAACATGAAACAAAAAAGATGTAGAGTATTGATGGTTATTAATCAAAATCACTACCTAAAATTCCAAGAGCTCTCTCTGCTTCTCTTTTGTGAATTTGTTGCTGATTGACCATCTCATAAAAAATTCCATGTTGATTGTAAAGTTCTGTATGGGTTCCAACTTCAACAATACGTCCTTCTTTGAAAACTAAAATTTGATCAACGTCTCGAATTGTTGATAATCGATGAGCAACAATTATTGTTGTACGACCTTCTTGAGCCTAGAAAGTTAAAAATTAATTTAAAAAATTCTTCGGTTATTAAAAAAGAAACTTTACCTTATTCAATGCCTTTTGAACTAGTGCTTCCGATTCTGTATCTAAAGCAGATGTGGCCTCATCCAAAAGCAAAACTTTTGGGTTTTTAATTAATGCCCGAGCAATTGCTATTCTCTAAAATTGTTAATTTATTTAAAAAAACTTTCCATAACATTTTTATACAAACCTGCCTTTGGCCACCACTCAATTGAGCACCTCTTTCACCAACTCTAGTTTGTAAACCATCAGACAATTTTTGAATAAATTCTAAGGCATTGGCTAAACGACAGGATTCCAATAATTGTTCTTTGCTTGCATTTTCATTCCCCAACATTATATTGTCCTTTAAAAATTTTTTTAAAGTAATTGTAAGCACTAGTTTAATAAAAACCCTTTCATAAGAATTTTTAAAACTAAACAGTTTAATGGGAAAAAACTTAAAATACAAAATCACATCTTTGTTCAGTACTGTATTAAACTCTAATCTAAATTAACAATAAAGTAAAATCTGATAGAATATCTTGAATGACCCCCCAAAAACGGATAATTAAAGCTAACGGGAAATCTAAAAAAACAAAAAGAAACCTCCAAAGTTCCATCAAAAAGAATAGGTTCTTGACTAACAACACCAATTTGATCCCTTAACCATCTAACATTTAATCTTTTCAAATCGTGATCATCCAAAAGAACTGTGCCTCTAGTTGGGTCATAAAAACGAAGTAATAAATTAACTATTGTTGATTTTCCACATCCACTAGCACCTACTAAAGCCAATTTCTTTCCAGGTTCCAATGAAAATGAGACGCCTTTTAAAACCTAAAAATTAAACTTAATTGGTTTTCAATCTCTAGAAATGTTAATAATTTTGAACTTTCCGTACAGAGTACCCAAAGGAGGTAATAAAAAGGGCGTTGAACTAATTCCGAAATAGAAAAAACGAAAAAATGTTAAAAGGAGAACGGCAATGAAGCTCTCCCGGACTTCAACATTTGAGTAAGTCTTTGATTTCAGACCGAAAACATAAAACGATTCGCAAAGTAAAACTCTTATATTTGAATAAAATTAAAAACCTTAACATCCTTTCTTGACGGATAAGTAAAATGCACATCTTGAAGACGAATTGCCCCTTTCACTTCCCAAAGAATATGCCCATCATCACTGTATGGATCTATATGTGGTTTCTTTAAAAAATGGATTATTATTGGATAAAATTTAAAAACACCCAACTCTATTAATAACTCTAAGGACATGTCTTGCAGCCCCTTTAGCAGAAGTTATGCTTGCCAGATGAGGAAGAGCACCACCTAGAGCCGTTGAACCACTCATTACAGCAAACTAAAAAATTGAGAATTTAATATTGATTAAACACAGTCAGTGGTCGTTTATTTTTTTTAAAAATAAAAAAGATCAAAAAATTAATTATTAAAAAAATAATAAAACTAACAAAAACAGTAAAAACAGCACCCCTATCAAAATCCGGATCCCACAATACAATTTTAGCCGCATACCAAAAAGCAACAGCATAAGATACATACATAATTATATTACTTATACCAACTAAAAAATTAATCTTTTAATTGAAAAAATTTCTCCTTGGCCAAATCAAGCCATTCGAAAAAGCTTATCAAGTTGACAATCGAGTTTCTGAGTGCCTCTAGAGCTTGAGTCAAAAGAAAACAAAATCAGCAAAATACGCCGAAAAGAGTTATCTTCGACTAAATTTTCTGAATCGGCTCTTTGAATGGCATCATGCATACACGCAATTTAACCATGGGAAAGCATAAAGTATCAAATTTAATTTTAAAAATACCTCCAAGTGCCATATAAAGATATTTGAGTAAACCAGTCTTTCGACCCTCTTCTAATGCTTTCTCATATCTAAAATTAAATTTAAAAACAATTTTTTCAGAAATAAAAAGAAATCAGGTTTTGATTGAATTTTAGAGACAATGAGAATTTTTAGACTTTTGCCGAATAAAATTTTTTCCCCGAAATTTTTCCAAACCTTTCCAATTCTTGCTGTTCAGCATTTAAAGAATGTATTGTCCTCATAGAACTTAAAGTTTCTTCAGCAATAGCCCCAGCAATTGCATATTTATCTTGTTCTACTTGTGTTCTAGAAGCTGTCATTTTCCCCATCCAAGCAGAAGTTAAAGCTATTGCTGGGGTAAATAAAGCCATCACAACAGTCATTTGCCAACTATAAAAGAATCCAACAACAAAGCTTGAAATAAATGCTGCAAACCTAAAAATTAAAAAAATATTAGATAATGGGATGAAATGTCTCAAGCTTTATTTGTAAAATTTTTTGTGGATTTTATAGAATCCTGAGGAGTTACTGAAGCGATTTACTTTAATGAAATTACTCCGTATGCTCGATACGACAAAATATGTAACATATCAAAGCCGTTCCCTTTACATAGTGTTTTAAACAAGAAACAGGATTATGCCATTTTTAATATTTTGTTATCGTCAAATTAAGGAAATATTTTTTTCAAAAAATTTAATTTAAAAAAATATACATTTGAATAAAAAGAGATGCTTTATCCCCCAATCCTTCTCTAACCCTTTCCAAATCATCAGATAAACGAGCAGTTAAATTTCCAGTTTGAACAGTATCAAACCAAGCAATATCTTGTCTTAAAATTGCACGTAAATAATTTTGACGCAAACGATGTGCTAATCTTTCTGCTGCTGCTTCCCAACAGGCTATCTGTAAATTAATTAAGTAAAATGAATTTAAAATATAGGAAAAAAAACACTTGATAAAAAAATAAACACATGACGGTATTTATGAATACTTTTTTGGGGTTGAAAAAGCGTACCTTATAAAGAGATTTATCTTAAATAGAAATTTTTAAAGATCATAGGATCTTGCTTATTCCAAAAATTGAAAAAAATCAAGATTTTGGGACGGAATTCCATGAAATCTTGTACGGAACCCCGTCCCGTCCCTAAAAAATTAAATTGGGATGAAATGTCCAAAATATTTAATAAAAACAAGCAAAATATTTTCTTTAAAATAAAAAAATACCTGGATATAAGAAGTAATAAACATAACAAAACCAAGAAATAAATAATACATTGAATAAATAAATATTTGATGTTTAAATTCTTCACTAGAAAGAGGCGGGATCGTAGAATTATCAGTTGAGCTTGCATTTTTAAAAGTTGAAGGTTCATTAGCATGCACAAAATCAGAATTTTCAGCACGAAGAAATACTGAAAAATAAAAAAAATAAGAAAAAATTTCTTGTAAAAAAATTTTAATTAATTTCTAAAAAAAAATTGGATGAAATGTCCATTTTTTCAAAAATTTCAGAAATTTAAAAAAATTTCAAAAATTTTTCTAAACCTGAAGTCATTCCACCCAACACAATAGAAAGTAAAGGAAATCCAGCTCCATGAACTACAGATGCAAAAGTACCAACAATAATGAGAAAATAATCTAAAGCTGTTGAAGAAGAGAACTGAAAAAGTAAAAATTCTTAGAAAAAAAATTTTCAAACCAAATTATTTAACTTTTTATTTTTAATTAAATTTTCTTTAATTTCATCACATTTATTTTCTGTTGTTTCCAATAAAGGCAAATTACTATTTAAATTTTTAGGAGTTTTGGGCATTTTTTAAAATATTTTCACGGGGAATTTAATTAAATAAAAACATTTTTTTAACCAGAAAACTCAAACTAAGCAGTATTAAAAACTACATTGGAAATAGTCAGCTAGAACCAAAAATTAAAAAGCTTCAATTACTTTTTAAGTTCGCCAGAGAGAAGAAAGCTAAAATACGAACTATTTTTTAACAGTGACAAAATGAGTTATTCTTTTCTTCATGACGAATTGTCGATTGACAGAAAATAAAAATTCAAAGACGTTTGAGTGCAGAAATTTTTAGAGTTAGGGACATTTCGGTGTAAATTTCCCACAATTATTATTAGAATACGGTCAGGTCTCAATTACAATTTTTACATTCAATTCTTTTGAAACCCAAAGGTATTTTAAAATAGGGGTTTGTAAAACAAAAGGATTTTAACTTACAAGTCCAAGTTTGCGAGGTTTTTCCTTTGCTTTTTTCGGTTTTCTTCCATTTGTTAATGGGTCAGTAGAACTTAATTTTATCTTTTAAAAATGTGATAGAATTTTCTGTGTCTATTTTTCTTACTCTTTCCTCTTTCTTTTTCTTTTGGAAACCAGACCCCCCCCCCCTTCTTTCCTCCAATTTCCCATCTTTGCTCAATCCCCTCACTTAAACAAAATTATTTTTAAACAAACTTTCTTACCTATTACTTGAATCTGTTGTTAAAGTTCCATAACTTATCGTCAACTTTTCTGTTGTATCCCCCAAAAGTGCCTGTCTATCACTGTTAAACATTGACGAACCTCCTATTAATACAGCTGAGTGTTTTGGATGCTCCTCGGCGGTTTCCAAATTTGGGGATTTTAACATTTTTATAATTTTATGGAATTAGTTTTTTCTAATAAATAAAATATTAAAGAAATTAGATAATAAAAAAAAATAAAAAGCATGTACTTTCTGATGAAACATATTGAGACAAAAAATTCAAGGAGAAACGAATTTAATTTGAATAATTGAAAATACATATTTTTAGAAAATATACAAATTTAAAAACAAATCAATTTAAGTATATTTAAAATGATCTAATAAAATAAATTTTGTATATTTTTACTGATTAAAAAAATTTTTTTTGACAAAAAAAGAAGAAAATATTTACTAGAAAATTATATATTTGTTTATTAACTAAAACATACATTTATGTCCTAGTTTTTTTTATTACTGATAAGATTAAATGTAAATAGAGACATACAGTCGTGGAAAAAAGTATGGAAGCGCTAGAAAATTTTTTCTTAATTCTTAATTTTTCATTCAAAAAATACGTTCTATATACCAATCGAAAGCTCTATTCGTATCTCAGTTGACATATTTCTGCATTTTTCATGAAAATGAAAATTGGCCGAGATAATCCGGATCCACCGGATATACCAAATCCCATTTTTTCGGAAAAATTTTTCGGAACAAATTTAACAAACCCAAATGATAAAGCATATTTTTCTGAGTATTTTCCACAAAACCGCTTTGAAATATCTTTTTCCGGTCCAGAGATATGATTTTTTGAAAATCGCATTTTTCGTCAATTTTTGCAAAAAATTCAATTTTTAAGGGAAAAATGCGATTTTCAAAAAATCATATCTCTGGACCGGAAAAAGATATTTCAAAGCGGTTTTGTGGAAAATACTCAGAAAAATATGCTTTATCATTTGGGTTTGTTAAATTTGTTCCGAAAAATTTTTCCGAAAAAATGGGATTTGGTATATCCGGTGGATCCGGATTATCTCGGCCAATTTTCATTTTCATGAAAAATGCAGAAATATGTCAACTGAGATACGAATAGAGCTTTCGATTGGTATATAGAACGTATTTTTTGAATGAAAAATTAAGAATTAAGAAAAAATTTTCTAGCGCTTCCATACTTTTTTCCACGACTGTACCTTAAACTAACTACAAAAGTAGAATAATATAGAAAAGAAAAATATGTATATTTAAAAGAATTTTAAAAAAACAAAAGGAAGGTTCAATTTAAATTATGAAAATTAGAAAGACATTAGAGAAGTATTTTAAAAGATACCCTTCTCCCCTAAACTCATACGACGAAAATTCGTTCATTGAAGAAAAACTAATCTTGTCACCCATCTTTTAAAAACAATTAAGACAAATTCTGAGAAATAAATTTAAAAAAAGATAAAATTAATCGGTTCTGAAACAATTTGTGAGCTACCTCAACAAAAAAACAAAAATTTCAACCAGGTTCTTACACCACTACACGAAAAAAAAATACTTGCCCTTTAAAAAAAGGGCATACAAAAATAAATACACTAACAACTGCTGGAAGTCCTAAATGTAAAGTCCAAACATTTAAATGTGTATAATTATAATTTGAATTATTAAACGGGAAGCAACCGACTAGTTCTGATAAATAATTTTTCATTTTATTTTATATTTTTCGCATTCTCTGTCATTTAATTTTTCATATACACATTCTATCTCTAATTCTTTTTCAACACTTTTTACTAAGTATTTTTTTAAACTTTTTTTCTCTAACATTTTGATATTCAAAAGACCTACAGACAAAAGAAATCTACAGTCAAAAGTTTGAAAGACTAAAAGCCACAAAACAAAAGATCTACTCAGCAAACTAATACAAAAACCCATTAGAAATTAAAATTTTGTTTGGCAATGTTAACAACAAGAATGAGTCGAGTTGAAAAAAAGTCTGGTCGGGTTTTGGATAGGGTTTTCAAAATTTTCTTCGGATACCTTAGACCTCCAATATCGTTTCCAAATTCCCTGATTGTGATATTCCAGATACCCCTATAGGTCACCGATATCCCTCTCAGCCATTTTTGATCAGGAATAATCGAAACTTCGTTTCCATTTCGTGCACTTTCCATTTTTTTTCCATTCCATTTCGGAACGAAACGAACAAGAGCCTAAACACAAGCATTTTTAATTTTATTTAAGAAAAATTATTTAATTTCGGTTCGAAATAAATTTTTTATTTCAATCTGGCCAGTCTTGATTCTTCGATATAACATTCAAACCACACTCAAGTTCCCAGAAAAGAAGTTTTTTTCAAAAATCTCACAACCAATTTTTCCTTAAAACAATTAACCTCATTCTGGGCAATGAATTTAAGAAATAAATTATTCGAAAATCCCCTTTCAATCAAATAACTAATTAATAATTATTTAAAATAGTTTAACAAAAATTTTAAAAAACAAACAAATTTAACAAAAAAAAAAGAATTTCATTTTACTTTTAAATTTTCAACAACAAAAAACATTTTTAGGCACAAAATATTAACTTTAATGTTAATTAATGTGTTGAATTTTGTTGTGTCAAATATTTTCCATCAGATTTTTTTCGTAAAAGAACACCATAATTATATAAATTGGCCAAATTTACTTCTAAAAAAATTTTTATTTTTAATTAAAAAAATTTTTCGTTTCTTTTAGGTTAGGTATCTCGCTACCCCAATTTTTGTGGAAGAAAAGGAAATAAAATAGAAAAAGTAATAAGGAGGAGATAACAAAAAAGTAAATTCTTCGGTTATTTTAAAATAATAATTTTATGAAGTATTTCCAAAAAATTAGGTAAAATTGACTCTACTAAAATATTTCCAAAAATTCAAAAAAAATTAGATTGTCATTTTGGGTTAAAATTATAAAATTAAATTTTATTTTTTTAAATAGCAAAAAAATTTCTTAAGTTTGCAGTGTAGAGGGAGTTATGTTTAAGCGAAAAAGTCAATTTTTACAAAAAAATTTTTTTTAATTAAAATACCTGTCGTTGTAATCTGATCACGTAAAAAGTCCAATTCCTCTTCCGTTTCTCCATTACTAAAAATTTATTTTTTATTTAATTAAAAATTAAAAAAACGTTTGTTCAATATTTGCCAAATGTTTAGTTAATAATTCTTGAGCTTCTTCCAATTTATATTCAACCATGACATTTGCTCCCAACCAAATACAGACTCTAAAGAAATAAAATTTTCTTTAAAATTGGACAGTAATTGATTAAAAGAAAATAAAAAATTGGTAGATTACCCAAAGTGAATGCTAAAGGTTTTAAAAAGTATCGAACAATATTTTTAAAGATTTTAGAAAAGTTTAACAAAAAATTATAATCATTCCCTTCCACCCTCCCCCTCCCTCCACACACATGTATCCTCACAAACTAGGGTAGATTTAAACAATCTCAAAAAGATTAAACTAACCTATCCATTTCCTCAATAACAGCATCTGAAAAAAGATTTTCATCCAATTTGTAGGTTACTAGAACAGAATTGGCCTTTTTTGTCTTTAAATTAAAAAAATAAAAATTCTTTTTAATTTTTCAAAAAAAACCTTTTGTTCAACCAACATTTTCAAAGAGTCAATACTTTTTTGGTAATCAAGAATACTCTCATCAATTCTTTAAAAAAATTGTTTGAAAAATTTTAAAAGAAAAACTTTGTTTTTTGTTGAAGAGCAGAAGTCTCCAATAATTTATAACGTCGAAAATTATCTCTTTCATCTTCTTGAACGTCATCCAAAGTTTTCTTTTTTTCTGTCAAATAATTCTCTACATTCTCCTTTAAAGAGAAAATTTTTTTTTAATTTAAACAAATCTTCTAAAAAGTTAGAAAAAATATTTTGAATTTATAATACCAGCTATTAAAACGGGCAAAAAATTTAAAAAAACTTTAGAATCCCCAAATAATTAAAGCTAGGAAACTATTAAACAAGAAAAACTAATACGTAAAAGTTAAGTTTGTATGACACACTTTTTCTCATTTTCCCACCTCCCCAGAAAAAGTGAGGAAAAGGTAGCTGAACGACAGTTAGAATACGGGTATATAGAATACGGGTCTGTAATCCGAAATAACTGAAATTTGAAATATTCGGACTCAATACATTAAACTACTTACTGGCAAACCTGAAAATATCGAAAAAGCACTTCCTCCTCACCAAAAAACAATTAATTATTAAAAAACTAACCAAAACTAAAGCTTTCAAAATATTTCTTCTTTTCATTCTTTCCTCTAAAGGCAAGGATTCAATTGTTTCTGTAGTTGTTGAAGTACTAGCATTAATTATTTTATTTTCCAAACTCATTTTTTAAAATTAAAAACTAAAAATTTAAATATTTCTTGAAGGATTAAAGCGGCAAAGGCAAAAATAGTAACAATTAACGATACAGAACTACGAGAATCTAAAAAAATATTCCTTATACATAAAACATATTCTAGAAACAAAACATTATACTTGTTTTTTTGAGACCCTAAGAACAAAAAATTTCTGCCAATAAAAATTGGCATTCAAAAATATACTAGTGAATGGAAACGACGACATTGATATATGGAACCAAAAATTAAAATAAAATAGAAATTTAAATACATATATTAAACGGGAAGCAACTGACTACTTTTAAGATATAATTTATCCATTTTATTTAAAATTTTTATCTTTCTCTGTCAATTAATTTTTCATAAACAAATTCTTTCTCTACTTCTTTTTCCGCATATTTTACTAAGTATTTTTTTCATACTTTTTTCTTTAACATTTGTTCTATTCAAAAGATTTCTTTTCAAAAATATAATTTTTTTTCAACCTTCCAAAAGAAGTGTGTGATTAAGTGGTTGATATAATGGACTTTTAGCTGGATTACTCGTAAATTTATATTTAAATATTACAAAAAGTAAAAAAGAAAAGGAAAATTTTTTTAATTAGATGAGAAGAATGAGAGATCAAGAGAGAATTTTTTGCCTATAACTTCCAATTTTCTCAAAATTTTGTTTGAGCGCTGAGAAAAAAGAAAGCTGGCTTCTTGGCTTCCAGAATTCTAAAAAATTTCTTAAAATTAAGGTACGACCTTTCAAGACGGTTCAAGTTTAGGAGAGCA